CCGAAAGTACTGTATGGTAAAGGTAAAGTTATTTTTTTATGTTGTGACATTTTGATAATAGTTTCTACTATAAGTATTATACGAGCAAAGTTATCCGGGGAAAAGTAATTTTTTACGAGACGTAAAATTATCCATTGAATTATTTCGAAATTAATAGTGTATGTTAAGTTAAAAAGTTTCCTTGTTCGGGCGCAATATTACATAATAATATTATTATGAATTACTATATTTTAAATCAATAATAAACTACGGTGCATTCGCCTCGGTTATTCAACGGCAGCTTGAATAAAGTTTTAGTGAATTGAACCACAACAAGGTTGGCATACTTGAGTGATGAGTTCAAATTTTGATAAAAATGCCATGAACAAATTATAATAATAATTTATATGGCTATCAATTGTCCTGCGCTATAAACCTATATTATAATCAGTAAAAATGACTGTTCTTAACCTTAGATCATGTACTCGTACGTATTGTATTTATATATTTTTGAGTATAGTGTTTTTATTAGAAAAATTAAAAATATGAATCTGTAAAAAAAACTGTCTTTTAAGTGTATTTTGCTTGCGGAGTGGGTTAAGTATTATTTAATTCTACTTACACCGGCAAATAAAATATTTTTAGCCGCCTCTGCGGTGATTTACGAATCGTTGGCGATTTCAAACACTTCAAAAACTGCAGAATTAACGACGCGTACCTATACGTAATATATTGATCTACTTGGTTTTTTATACCCCTTTTTATGCTGTAATCGTCAGCAGAGTGTCGCAAGATGCTATCGCATGAAAGCAGAAAAAACGCTACGCTAGACAACAAAGCTCTCTTCAAGAATATTCATGAAAATAAAAAATAAATCTTTTACGGATACGGTTTTTATTATTTTTATGATTTTAAACTGTAAAACGCTCTCACCATCATAAAGCATAATCATTTTCCTATGTATATTTGAATATAATATTATAATTATTTAAAGATAATGAATATTATAAGTATAAATATGAATATGACTAAAATATGAAAAACAACAAAATACAATTCCTAATAATTCAATAATTTTTCGTAATAACTAATGCATTTTTTATTAACGTTTGCATTTAATGAAGCTTTTAAAAAAAAACCACTAGAAACAGTGAATTCAAAACTTTTATTAATTATGAAAATTACAGATAACAACATTATCAAATTATGACATATTTATTTTAAATGTTTTTGAATCATATTCAGAGTTGAAAATTGGCCTTTTTTTACTTAACTAAATCAATATAAAATTTTCTAAGTATAGTTGTAATCTTTAATTGTCACCATGAGCGTTTTACGCTAAATTTCACTTATTTCAATATAAAATTATTTATCGATTCAATATTTTTATCTTAAATAATGTTCATTCAGACATCATCCTGTTAAAATTTCTTTTATACAACCCCTTTAATATTCCTTGTGTGACCCAATAAACTTCTGAACAAATGAAAATTTAACAATTAAGAAATATTCAAATAAATTTAAATATGGCCCCATGTCCTTATCATAAATATTATTATTATGTAATAATGAAATTTAAATATATTTTCGCGTTAAAACACAGATAAAAATGATAAAACAAATACACAAAATGTTCAAATAATATCGACAAGAACGTAATGAAACATTTTTATTTTTTTTTAAATTCTATTTTTTTATTTCATTCCTTATTTTATAAGCCTTTGAAAAACACAGAACAAAATGTTTCAAACTATTATTTTATTTTGTATATTATTTCAAATGTAACATTTGGCTTGTATAGTAAGTCCAAACTTCCTCTTCCAAGAGGTAGTGACGTTAATTATTAATTAATTTAGGTTTAAGATGAAAGCTGCAGCCAGTGATAATCAAGAATTAATTTAAAGTGATAGAGACCTTGTGCATTTGATACTTATTTTAGAGTACTTTTTAGTTTCAGAATGCATACATCAAAACTGTATTTAAATAGTATTTTCGGCCTACTCATACCCCTTAAAACAGATATTTTTAGTTATGTGCGGTACAGTTCTATACCATCTAAATTTGTATGGCCCAGTTTAGTATTGTCTAGATTTTAAGTACAAATTTTTACCACCCCGATTGTTACGGACTTTCAAATTTTATATTCCTGATTTTTACCGTCCAGATTTTTACATTTCAGAAATGTATAGATACCTAAATATTGCTTTATATTAAGCTTCCTCTTAAATATAAGTATTGGGTTTATGCGTGTGTTTGTGTGTACAATCATCTTAATGTTAAAAAAAGTAATATAAAATTGTAAACTGTTGGTTTTCATTTTTTTTTTTTATTTTTAATGAATATTTTCAAAAATGATTGTTTACAGCCGATTCAGAAAATAGACGCTCCCAAAGTCTATTAAGTACCTACTTGTAATTTATTCGTATTGAATTTCGTATTACAATTATTTTAAACGATTGTTTTACAAGTATGCTATACTCACATTAGTTTAGCGTAGGTATATTATAGTATATCGTTATTAATCACTTCAGACTTTTTACGCATACTTGCGATAATATCGATAGGATATTATATAATATAGGTGTACAGGTACTTACTGCGCAGCTACTATATAAATTGTTATTTACCTACCTATATGAACATTATTATTAATGAACGTGATTTTGCGGGTAAAATAATAGTTTCATTACAATCGCCTGTTACATAACTTTTTTGAGATGATATTTGAGCAATTTCATTTTAACCGTATTACCTCTCGTACTAATTTCATAAAGTTCGCGGGTTTATGAATATAATATTATTATCAGCTATTCCACGCGTTTCATGTTATATCAACAGGTTAGGTAACTATCTACCTACCTACCTAGTACCTCACGACCGTTACAATCATGATAATATTTTTGTATTTATTTTTTCTTCAAAAAATATACAATTGTTATGTAACCGCAGCGGCAGTATTGTGTTATACAACGAGTGTTATATAACTGTATAGAATTGGGATGATAATGTTATATTATTGTTGTAGAGAAAATATGTTATTATTATAATATTTTAAATGGAATAAATTCCAACGCATCTATGTGAAAAGATAATTGTTTATGTACATTTATTTTTAAAAATTAGGTATTCACTTAAAAATTTCACATTAACTACTGATAACAAAAATTAAAACCTTTCCTCAAAAGTTAGATAATATGGTTATGATGTTTTATGCTTTGAGTGGGTATATCTATGTTTGTACAATAATGTAAAATTCACGCGAATTTTATCAAAATATAATTGCAATTAAAGCAAAATACATACCAGAGATCAATATTATTCAATCTATTATTTCAAAGTTCTCGTTGTTGTATGCCACTAAAGACAGTGGCGAGACAAATATTATTTTGAAAATTACAAGGAATATATAATAAGATAATATACACGCCACACGAAGAGATAAATGTATTGTATAGGTATCAGAAATTATTATAAGTAAACTAATTAAGTATGATACAATTACGGTAAAATTTAAAAATAGTAAGACATATCTAGTATAGGTACATAGTTATTATTCGGGAATTGGTTAACATTATATTTTGAATAAATTAATAGAATTTTGAAAAATGGTATCTATAATAAAGCTTAATAGATAAACTGAGAACATATATTATAATAAAAAAAATTGTACACAAAACAGCGCCTCACTTACCTTATTTAGCGAACCGCCACTTACTGAAAGTTTGATTGATGATCACAAAATATGAAGGCATATACAGCCTTTTATTGCAATCGATTCATTTATAAATTCTATTTACAATTGTTTCAATGAACAATAAATATGTAAAACAATTCCACACTGTGCATACAAAATTAAAACGAATAATCACAGTGTATTGAAAATATCAATATTGAAATAATTTGTTATACATTTTACTTGTTTATTTATCGATTAATTTTTTGATAGACCTACGACAGTATTATAAAAGATAGCAGAAAAAATATTGTTCCATCACTGTAGTATACTTATAGGTTTCTAGAATTTTAACATTACACCTAGGTAAGTAATCGTTTTGCGAATGCATTATATTGGTACCTACCAGTTGCCGCGTTGATGGGTTGATGTGTGATCATATTATATCTGCAATAATATAAGATCATAGATAGGTATCAACTATTTTAGCGTTAACATAAACTTAGTTTTTAATCGTTCTGTAAACTTTATTTCAATTCAAATAAAATATATTTGATAAACCAATCAGCAGGTATATAGGTATATTATGCATATTTTTAAAACTGTATACCTATGTGTTTAAACAGTGAATCGTAACTGAATTTTAATATTTAGCTACTAATTGATTATTATGCGACCGACAAATAACATAGTACGTAATATACTCGTATTATTTTCTTTCTTTATTAAAGAAATAAAAGAAGAATCATGTAGTTACTGAATATTAGGTTAGGTTGTTTAATCTTCGTCTATTTTCGTATACAATTTTAAAATTAATAAAAAATATTTTATGTAGGTATTTTGGTTCGTTTAAGTTAATATATAATTATCATTCCAAAATATTGAAAAAGGTTCTTAAATTACCGTAAAAGCACATGGAGTCCTAGGAATCTCCTATTGAACATTTTTTTGGGTTCTATGACACTCTTCCTATAATCAGAATATTCTGTCCCATGGAGTTCTAAATTGGGGTCCACATAAGGATTCCTCAGGAGCTCCTTAACTACACAATACTTGGACTAATGGAAAGCTGCAATTAGAACTCCTACATGGAATTAATTACGGGACCATTAAATTTAAATAAATATTTGACCTATTATAATATATTATAATCATTAATTATTTAAGGTATTATTGCTTCCTTATAATATTTATAATATAATGAAAATATACATTTGGTTAATTTCGAAAATAGTATATAAATAAAAATAGTTAAAACTTCCATAATATATGATGTATATTATAACATATTATATTATGTCAAAAAAAAAATATATATATATATATGAATATATATATAGATTTTTTACGTTATTTATTTATTTTTTATTTATATCCTTTTATATTTGATATTTTATTGAGTATTAAACTAAAACAACTTTTGTTTTTGTTGTTTTTTTTTTTATTAAATCTGTCAATAGCTTGACGGAGCCAATTGCAAGTATCCTTCTCAATTTGTTCGTCAGAATAGTTTGAGTTGAATTTTTTTCTTCCAGCATCTAAAAAAAATATATAAACATAACTAAAACATTAAATATATAATAAAATACAAATTAATAATAAGTTAGAAAGTTTGGAGAGCTTAATTTTAGTTTAACCTCCCTAAGAACTTTAACATTTTTAAAAACGGACACAAAAGATAATATATCCCAAACCAATCAATTTATTTATGTATTTTGTATGACTGATGTACAAATCAATTTCGAAAAATATATAATGGAAGTTCACATAATATTGCTACAAAAGACTAACAGATCTATTACACTTATCGCCATATTCCCAAAATTCCCACGTACATTTCTAGCAGATCAAAATGTCTACGTTTCCTATCACTATAGTTAGAAATCTACAGTACGTTATAATAGATACCTAACTGTTGATGAGTATCTACTTAAATATAATTATTTTTTCATACCTAAAATAATAACAACCATAATGCTTAATATGAAATATACATGTATATATTTTATATCATTTATTGTTTTCTCTAATAACATACCTACGAAAATAAAATACCGATACAGTATTAACCGATCAATATTTTATTTTTATTTATTGTTTCGATATACAATAACATATTCTATAATTATTTATATTATTATTATATTTATGTATAGACGCGTACACAAGGGGGTTTTATGGATTCAACCCACCCCTCCCCTGAAACTTTAGGATCATTTTTATGTAAGTTTTTATTAAGTATCGAAACACGAGTGGTTTAACCTTAAAAACCTTAAACCATTTCCTAAAATATTTTTTGTGTATGCACCTGGTGTTGCAGTTACAGTATTAGATGTCCCGGTGTCCGTCTATACTTTAAAACGTCAAACCGTTTAATCTTATACGTAGGTATTATAATTATATGATTTTATTTATTATACAAAATGGAAATATTATGTTTTATTACTGCTAAATGATAAAAAAAAAAATCGTTGATAAAAATATGTACACCCAAATAAGGTACCTAGTCGAGAAGTTAAGTTACTTAGGTCCGAATTTTTGTTTCTAAATTGTATTTAATATCATATTACTATAAGTTTTTATTTATAATAAATGTTGTATATTCATTATGTTATTAAACGCAGTCATTTCAGTACTCATGACATGATGGGAATAGGAGGAGGGCAGAGTGGAATATATCTTTCGGTTAGATTAAGTTATCTATGGGTAAATACAATTATTTATATTAGATACATGATATTTCGGTATAATGATGATATATTTTTATGCTTTATGCAGCAAAAAATAAGACCTGCATTGGTGCTTATATTGTTTTTTTAGTATTTTCGTGCTTTTTATATAGCTCTTATCTGAGTTTACCGATCACAAGTTTCCCCGATGGTTATAAATTCTGCCAATAGTAATATTTACTATGAACCAAACTTTAATAAAATAATATTACCAGTGAATAGAAAAATAGCTTTAATGTTTGACAATAATTGTGTTAATAATAATGTTTCTAACAAAACACATATTAAATATCTAGTTATAATTATTCAATAATATCACAAATTAAAATCACAGTAAATGTCACAATTATAATTAAAATAAAAAATGAATTAAAATTGATTTGAGCAATATACGATAATTCCTATTATCGTATACTCATCATCGAATAAACTGTATTTTACCGTAACAACACAAAGACCTTTTCTGGAAATAATTCTGAATATCAGAGCATTCCCACGATCTAACATTTTACCCTGCCTAACCACTACACTATCTACTACATTGAAGAGAACATAAATCGTTTCATGGATATATAAGTTATCATAAAATCAATTTTAAATACTATATAATATGCAGTAATACCTCAAACTTGTGGATTTTTTTGGAAACGGGAATTGTAAACTACAAACTGAACCTCCTCTGAATAGTGGACACCACTACCATAACCAAGACACGTATCTGGAAATGGGAAATGAGAATTTCTGTGTATTTTATCACTTTAAAAAACAGTCGATAATATAAGAATTATTAGTGCTTCCTCCTCCGAAATTTACTCCTACGATTAATGGACAAAGTTTTAGTGACTGCGAGTTTCTAAATAGTATACATGTACCCGTCTTAAGACGGGAAGTATGTGGTGAGGGGGTTAAAAGGGAGGGTAGAGAGCAGGGTGATACTCCTCAATCCCTCTAATTAATTTAAGTAATAATAATAAATGGAAGTTCCCACGAAAGTCAAAATACTTCCCAGTGGTAAACTCCAGGCACGTATTAATTGAACTGAAAAAGTCGATTCCCCGAAAAATTAAAATGTTTTCTGTTGGGAGGTTCTAAGAAGATACCAATTGGAATCTAAACAGTCTGTTCTTGTGACTTTCTGTGCTATTATTGTACTGTATCCATAGATAATAAAATAATGGATAAGACATTACAGTTTTGCGGTACAACTTGATAGGAAATTGAGGCCATTTGTTTACACTATTCTATATGATAACCACTGTGATAAAGTAATTTTCATCTATTTCATTATTACGTCTTCACTGGTAAACCATCATGTCCTATCCATTATTTTATTATCTATGACTGCATTGTACTTATCAACTATACTTAAACCAGTGCTTCCCAACCGTATTGGTCAATTATGGACTTATCATAGGTTATCAGTGATATTAGAATTCTCCGTAAAGTTGCCAAATGGTCCGCATAGTGGCTAAAAGGTTGGATAGTATTTACTTAAACAAACGCTACGAGTAATTTAATAACAATAATAATAATATATATTAATATTGCCTAAATAACTGTAAACATCCCCTACATGTATGATGACCACATGATGGAAAAAATATTTAGCCAGCTGATGGTCTCAGTTAAGCTATCACTACTCTTACCTTTCGCCACGTATCGCCGGCTCATCTTCAATTTTTCCCAATTGACACAATGGCATTTCTCAACAAATGTATTGCCAAAACATTTTGCGGAACAATAGCTTACCGGACGGCTACAGTTTGGTAAGTTTTCGTTGGCCATCGAGACCAAGCATAGGTTGCAAATCAAGTACTTAAAGGCCCATAAAAGTCGCGACGATTCCATCGCCGTCACTCGGCGTTTAGTTAGCTCAACAACGGGCAGATCTTGAGCCTGTTGCTGTTTCAGTCTGTCATGATTCAATTTGGCTACGGCACAGCATGCAATCCTACCACAGTTGACGAATGGTACCCATCTGTATAAAATCATCCAAAACTTCGACAATTTTGGGGACGTGCATTTTAATTGACATTCAACACACTGACACTTTTTACAACCCTCGCACCATTCCTCTTTGCCCGGTTCGTAGCCATTGGGATCGGATCCATCCGGTAATTTGGACGGTGTCCACGGCACGTATACTGGATATTCTTCATCGATCACTTCTTCACGGACGTAATCCATCAGAAAACCCGAATGTATTACTAAGGTTGGGATAATACGTTTCTCGATTTGTTACGAATCTAAGAATTTTATTTAAATCGACAGAGTATACGATTATTGATTTTAAAACTCAATAATTCCATACATTACCGAGAAATTTCCGTTAATATTGATGATCCTGCTATTGTGGCCAGAAAAAAACTGTTTTTTATAGCAGACAAACGTTTAAAATAATTAGGTAAATATACGACAACGACGACGTGTGTCGACATATTACACGTGCGCGGGACACACACCAAAAACTGAGTGGCAGCCGGTAAGTAATATGATATATAAGTGCACATAATATACGAACAGATAGCCGGGGAACGTGGTCAATGTAGTTTTGCAGACGTCGAAAAAAAAATAATCATATAATTGTTATTGTTCCGTGTGTAATTATAACAGTTTTATAAACCGCGGTGTCGTGTGCGTAAGTTGTTTTTATTATTAAACGGCACACAAAATTGGATTTCGCGAATATTTAATTTTATAAGTCTATGGGCTTAATACTATAGCTGTTAATACCAGTGACTTCGTCCACGTAAAATGCCTTCTGTACAGTAGTGCCATTTAGGGGAAAGGGACATAGGGTCTATAACCCCCATCTAGATATATTAGTACATTGTTGATAAACTCAATAACTATACAGACATCATTGCAACAATTGATAAAAATATTGGTACTATGAAATTAGTGGCTTAACCGCGGCTTAGCGCAGCTGTTCCATGCCTTACGGGAATAATTACTATCGGTTACGAAGTTTTTACGAGTTCATTTAAATTTTTAAATAAATATCAGAAGAGAACATTATTAGAGAATTGATTTTAGAGCATGAAAATAAAGAATATTCAATTTTGTGTTAAAATTTGTAAAATATAATATTATACTCATTGAATTTATGACATTATTAGGTCCCTATTAATAAACAGTGTTGGCACTTATCTAGATAATGTTTTAGATTCTGAGCACAGTGAGGAATATATTGGTTTTACTAAAATAAGTGCTTGTATTAGATTATAAGTGGAGCGAAAAAGCTTATAGTTTTACAAAGATGTTTATTTTTTTTATCTGTGCGCAACTTGTCTACTAGAAATCTTGCTCCAATTTAAAATGATAGCACTTTTTCTGAACGGAAATTTGACTGGGAAGATACTATAAGGAGGTAGTTTTTCGATTTTTCCAGGAGTTTTCCCAATAAATAGGAAAAATCGGGAAAAAACATGGGAAAATCGGTACAATTTTAAACAAAAATATTATTAAAGAAAATATATAATGCCTATTTAATTATTTTATCATAATATGACATATATATTGTTAACAAAGCAACACTATCAACTGAACTCCACTCAAAATCGTTTTTTCGTTAGCAATAGTTTATCGTTGCTTATAAATATACATTAAATTCCCGTCTGTATCTTACCTGCTCAACTTTTCACTTACAACAATAACTGCAGCCACGTACGAAGTATGTCAATATTTTATTTTTTTTTTCTGTCTGTTTACAACTTACTTTTATACCAAAATTCCTGTTCAATTCAAAACTAAAAAAAGCCGGGCACCTTCACATGTAGGTGCAGTCACTGTTGTAGGTGAGAAGTTGGGAAAGTAGTGTAGAAATTTAATGTTTAATCTCCAATCAACGATAAACTATTGGTAACGAAAAATCGATTCTGAACGGAGTACAGTTGATAATGTTACTTTGTCAACAATATATATGCCATATTATGGTAAAATAATTACAATAATAAGCATTGTATATTTTCTTTAATAATATTTGTTAAACATTGTACCTATTTTCTCATTGTTCCTACTGTTTTCTTTGTTTCCCAATGTTTTTTCCCGTTTTTTTCTCATTTTGTGGGTAAATCAAAAAATTACCTGCTTAAAACACCTCCCCAGTCAAATTTCTTTTTAGAAAGAGTGCTACACTTCAAAATCGGAGTAAAATTTCTGATAGAAAAGTTTCCCAATAAAATAAACATCTTTTTAAAACCATAACTTCTTTGCTCCACTTAGAATCTAAAAGACCTTTATTTTTGCATTTGAATCTGGTTAAAGCCTTTAGGATGTCATTTTTTTGATTTTCTAAATGGTTTTCATAATAATTTGGAGAAACCCGGAAAAAACGTTTGCGGAAACGGAAAAATATTTATGGAATTTCCATGGTATTTCATTATTTTAAATGTTTTCAATTTAATTTTTCTACCAAAATTCGAATATAAAATCTTTTCTGAAAGTAAATTTTGTCTAATTGGTATGTAAGAAAGTCGATTTTTAATCTTTTTGTGTCGTTTTAGTTGAAAACAAAAAAAGGAAAGACCGGAAATGTTTATGACATTACTATTTTTATTGTTTTCAATTTTTAAATTTTATTTTTAATTCAGTTACAAATAATCATAGACACCTGACTTTCCTATAGCATATTTAACTTTTTCTAGACGTCATGAAATTTTCAAAATATTCTGGTGGTTTTTGAGCTATTTATAAGCATTTGACAATTTCTGGTTTTATTATTATGAGAATACAATTATTTGACCAAACCGAATTATTTAACGATCAGACGCTTGCGTTTGAATATTATTAAACTACTCTCTCTTTAAACAAACTTCGGGGGAATATCTCGGCAACGGGTTAACGGAAATTAAAAATGTTTACACCAAAATATATTTATGGAATTTCTAATGGGGCAAAGGAAGGTATATTCATGATCAATTTACGAAATATTTTACTACATATACAATTAAAGTTAAATTAAATTCTAATTACTTTATTGAATCAAGCATGTTTTCTAGTTTCATATTATTTAATAATTTGAACAAATAAAATTAAAACATCAAAATTAAAAAAACCGTGTTGAGACTTAAGCACGTCTAAAATAACGATAATAACGATAATAAATGAACTGATAGTAAACTGTTATCACACACACTCAGCAATTGTGACTGTAGTCCCTTGAGTAGGGTGGTCAACTATCTTACGTTGGGAAGGATTGTGTTACATTCACTTGATTTATCCTACATCCAATAACGCTTTATACTTTATGAAGTACAATCCTACATTTCAAATGTCAATATATATGTAGTGATTTAGACTTTAATAGGTTGTAGTTTAAGGTCTATGAAATAATTCCTTTTAATAATTCATTATTAGATATATTTTTTTTGATTGTAGATACCTATTAAGTTATCGTTTGTTACTTATACAGTACTAACTATAATATAATTTAATACAATAAATATTTACATACCTACCTAAGTATCTAAAAACTTGAAATAGATTTTTTAAATTGTCTAATTCTATTATTTATGTCTAAGATTTGGTATTGTGTGAAAAATCAATTGTTAATAGAATATAGATATAGAATATTTTATTGCACATTGTAATTTATACATATTTTAAATAATAAATATACCTATCTAGCAATTTAGTATTTACCAACAATTTGCATATCTAATAAATTGTAAGAATGTCAGTTCAATTCTCCAAGTCAAATGACTAAATGAAGATTAGAAAAAAAAAGTTATGAATAAAATGTAGAAAATTATTTGTTAAAAGGTAATATACCTATTAGATAATATACCTTTCCACTGATATTACATTTCTCATTAAACTACTAATGAAGTAAAATAAGATGTGAAAAAAATTGTCCTACATCACACAATTTAAAAGTTAGCATCCATTGAGTAATATTTGACGCTATTTAGTTGTTTCCCAACAAATAGGTTTATCCATTATAAGAAGTATCATATAATTACCTATATCAATAAAATACTTTTATGCTATTTGAAAATCTAAGTAGATTGTCTATTCACCGCCAAAAATATGGATGACAAAAATTAATGAAAATGTAACATTTTAGTACTGCCTATTTGTTTCTTACATTGTCAAAAAAAAAATGTATTCTGAAAAAATTATTATTTTCCGAGATAAGTATTGCAATAGGTATTATTTTATAGGACACCCTGGATAAATATAAAAAATCTTTATTTTAATGACAAAGTAGGTTTATTATATTTTAAATTATTATTAATAATTTGTCAACCTTTACATAGTAATTTAGTATGTATTCTACTTTATTATTTAACTTCTATTATATGAAATATAAGATATCTGCCCCTAATAAAGTTATGCATTTTTTTTTATTTTAGGGAAAATGAATATCAAAAAAAATTTAAAATATAGAATTATTTGAGTTTCTAAAATAGCACAGTTTAATTATAAAATATATTCAATTTAAAAAATTAAAAAAAAAAAACATGTTAAGATATGTGATTAGTGGAATTCACAAAACTGAGTGTCGTTACAATTCAAACCGGTAGATAGAAGCATATAACTTAAATAATTTTACTTTATAATTTATCCATGACTTGATGTGTCGAAATTTAACATGATGAATATAGGAATGTCTCAACGATTTATGATTATAGAATATGTACTTCGACGAACTTGTCAATTTATACACTTCAATAATAATAGGATAGCCAATAATAAATAAGACCATTCGAGAATATTTTAATCTATAGCAACAACCAGCTTTTTTAATATTAGGGATGAATATTAAATAAATTTAATTATTATAAGTATTTTAAACTAGCTGAGTTAGCCATATCAATGAATGATTAAATATCAGTTTTGGTGAAAATAAACAAAAAATAAATAATATTCGATCATTGCACATGTGCGAAAACTTAAAAATTAAATTATTATTAAATGTTCGATTTTTAAAGTCTGAGGTCCCTAATCTATCAACACTGTATTCCGATTTTTTGGAATTTTGTATAAACCATTGCTAACGAAAAAACGATTCTTAACGGAGTTTAATTGATAGTGTTGCTTTGTCAACAATATATATGCCATATTATGGTAAAAATAATTTAATATGCATTATATATTTTCTTTGATAATATTTGTTTAATATACCGATTTTCCCGTTTTTCATACGTTTTTCCTGGTTTTCCCATGTTTTTCCCGGTTTTCCCCATTTGATGGAAAAACTCCTTGGACAATTAAAAACTGACCTCTTTAAAATAACACCCTTATCAGATTTCTTTTTAGAAAAAGGTTATTGTTGTAAATTGAAGCAAACTTTGTAATGGAAAAGTTGTCCACAGCAAAAAAATAAAAACAAACATCATTGTAAAACCAATATATTACTCACTGCACTCAGAATCTAAAAAAACTATTGTATTATTATATTTATTATAACATACCTAATGCATTTTTTTTACCGAGAAACAATACTCATCGT